CCATCTTCTTTTAATACTTCCTGGATCATTTAATATTCTGCCTAAAGCATCCTTGATTATAGCAACTCTAGGTTTGAATTTGTTCTTCAGTTCATCTATAGAGAAAAAAAAAAGACTTAGGCACACCTGATCAAGCCATGGTATTTTCAGTTGCTTGCTCTGCATCTGAAAGTTGCATAATGAATAAGAATGGCATAGAAGAATCGAGGCCTTTGAGTTGTGATGTTGGAGGAGAGTATGGAATATTCCATAACGTGGCAAGGAAACAAACAAGTGTGTTTTGAAGATGGTGCAACCGGATGTTCCTTGGAGTTGAGGGTGCCCAAGCTTCATTTTACATACTTTATACATGCTGTTAGGAGTAGCCAATCCTTAGAAAAGGACATCATGTTTGGAAAAATAGAAGGTCAGTGAAAGAAAGAAAGATCCTCAACAAGATGGATTTATACAGTGCTGCTGCACTATTTGCCAGGGGAGATATGGATGCCACAGGATCGGACAGGGTTCAGATCTCTTGTTCATAGGGTCCCTATAAGTCATACTCAGCTTGACAGCACCTAAAAGCAGCAAGACGTACTGTGTAAAGACAATGCAAATATGATTGACTATGTGAATTTCAACAAAGTATGACTAACATTGGGAAGAATGGGAATCTTACAACTCTTACTTGTGTTCATGTGAAACCTATACTTAGACCAAGAAGCTGGTTTTTTTATCAAAGTAAGAATGCTTCATGGTTTAAAATCCAAAAAGGTATATGTCAAGGCTATATCCTTTCTATACACTTATTTAGTCTGTATGCAGAGCAAAGCATTCAAGAAACTGATCTTTATGAAGAGTCATGTGGCAACAGGATTCAAGAAAAACTCATCAATAAGCTTTTACACAGATGACACATTTTACTACAGTCAAGAGGACTTAAGATGCTTCCTGCCAAAGATCAAAAGACTACAATCTTCAATATGGATTTCATTTCAACAACAAGAAAGCAAAAATCCTCACCACTGGACCAATAGGAAACGCCGTGGTAGATGGAGAAATGATTGAAATTAGCAACAGTTTCATCTTGCTTAGATACACAATCAGATCCCTTGATACAGAGCAATTAAAAGATCAGAAGATTAATCCAATAGAAAAAAGGGCACAGGATATGAACAGACACTTCACCGAAGACGACATTCAGATGGCCAACAAGCACATGAAGA